ACAAATGTTGTTGGTACGAGCATTGTTGTTCATGGTGGCGTCATGCACATTCCATAGGTGTGGGGCGACTTTTTTCCTGTGACTTTTTTACCTGGATTCGTATGTATGTGTGTATGTGTGGGGTGTGTGTGTGTGTGTGTGTGTGTGTGTGTGTGTGGTTATGTCTGATGAATTGATGGTAATGGTAGTGGTGGTGAAAGTGATGGCGGTGGTGGTGAAGGTGGTAGTAATGGTGATGAATTCAAGTTTATGATGGTATTACTTTGAGCAGGTTAAGCTTGATGACCAACACTTTGATTTGACCTTAGATGACCCGTCGTGAAGACCCCTTGTATCTTATCTTGACTTTAAGTTGACCCAGTCCCGTGAGAGTCATTTCCTGCCGTCTGACCTGTATACCTCACCCCCCTGCTCATGCTAGGTCACTTTCCCTGCACGTCCAACCTTCTGCGATTTCCTTTTCATTTCTCTCTCCTGGACGGCGTGTTAGGTGTACGTGAGTGTGTGTGTGTGTGTGTGTGGGGGGTGTTTAATGTGAATGTGTGTGTGGTGGAGGGGGTGTTTGTGTGTGTGTGTGTGTGGTGAAGGGGGGGTGTTTGTGTGTGTATGTTTGTGCGTGTTTGTGTGGTGGAGGTGTTGTGTGTGTGTGTGGTGGAGGGGGTGTTTGTGTGTGTGTGTGTGTGTTGGAGGTGTTTGTGTGTGTGTGTGTGTGGTGGAGGGTGTTTGTGTGTGTGTGTGTGGTGGAGGGGTGTTTGTGTGTGTGTGTGTGTTGGAGGGGTGTTTGTGTGTGTGTGTGGTGGAGGGGGGTGTTTGTGTGTGTGTGTGGTGGAGGGGGTGTTTGTGTGTGTGTGTGTGTGGTGGAGGGGTGTTTGTGTGTGTGTGTGTGTTGGGTGTTTGTGTGTGTGTGTGGTGGAGGGGGTGTTTGTGTGTGTGTGTGTGTTGGAGGGGGTGTTTGTGTGTGTGTGTGTGGTGGAGGGGGTGTTTGTGTGTGTGTGGTGGAGGGGTGTTTGTGTGTGTATGTTGTACGTGTTTGTGTGGTGGAGGGGGGTGTGTGTGTGTGTGTGGTGGAGGGGTGTTTGTGTGTGTGTGTGTGTGTGGTGGAGGGGGTGTTTTGTGTGTGTGTGTGGTGGAGGGGGGTGTTTGTGTGTGTATGTTTGTGCGTGTTTGTGTGTGTGGTGGAGGGGGGCTGTTGTGCGTGTTTGTGTGGTGGAGGGGGGTGTTTGTGTGGTGGAGGGGGGTGTTTGTGTGTGTGTGTGGTAGGAATAAAGCGGGGCATCATCATAACTGCTATGAATCCTAAATACACTTATGTTTGTTATTTTCCCTTACAGTATGTGCAGGTACAGGTTCACCTGAAGATGAAACACCCCAGTTTATTTCACCTGTTAACTAAACACGTAAACGCTAATCTAACCAACTTAAACCTAAACTAACCCCCCCCCCTCCGACAGGTAACGTTAGAATGATTAATCAATAGGTGAAGTAAACCATGGTGTCTAATATACAGGTAATCTAGGGTACCGCATCACTAGTCTCAGTGAAATTTCGACATTATCTTTGTTATGACCCATCTGTAAGGAGGTCAGAGGCGTTCTCATATCATACTGTGGGCACTTTGGAGGCGTTCCCACATGTCAATTAGAGGGAAATTAAACGTACGGAAGTTTTGAGGACTCGAGTCACATGGATCGGTCGCCACCAGGGTTGAACGGGCACGAAAGCTCACTTATTGAGAGGCATCAGCTAAGACCTTATCTGCTTCAACCCCTGGTGACGGAGAGGAGGCCGAGGTTTACTGACCTCTACACGTCCACTCTTCCTCCTTCGCCGCCACCGTCAGTAAGAAAGAAATCTCGAGAAACCAAGAAATTAGAATAAAAGAAATATACAAGAATTACCAATAGAACTCTTGATAAAGGAATAAAAACATAAATACAATAATAACTCTAAGGCAATAAAGAAAAACAGACAAAACTCGTGATAATAGTAGGGAAAATATTACATTCCTCCATTATTGTTTTTCTCACGTGACAGTAAAGGTTCTCAGGAGAATAGATATATCAGTACACGTGTACATCATTATACAACCCGGGTACAGTGACTCCGATGAACACCATCACTGTCAATTGCTTCTCTTGTAACGAGGATTTTTTTGTATTGGTGTTGAAAAATGGGGTAAAATTATTATAGTTTAAATGTTATTGTGTACGACTTGTTATTATACATGTTCTTTATAGTTTACCTTGTGTATATGTATGTATATATATATATATATATATATATATATATATCGCAGGTGTAAGCAGTTGGGGTATACAACAGGTGTGGTGTAAACAATGAGTCTTTACAACGGGTGTACAAACAAAGGTAAACAATTAGCCGAACAATGTCGTTTACACCTTAAAATTATATTCTGTGTTTAAGTGATTGATAATTATATTTGCTCTCAATTTTTATAGACACGAATATTTTTGCAACTAACACTGCAATCAGGTATACATTGCAACAACCGAGTGACGCCATGACTCTAGTTAGGAATATATATATTTGTTGACAACTTGACACTAATATTGAGATCTGGCTGTGTTAAGGGGGGGAGGGGGTCCTGGTAGATCCCCCCTCCTTCCTTACCCCCCTCCCCCCTCTTCACATCTAAAGAAGAAAAATTGAATAGATTGTACAGTTAAATATATGTATTTACACACACACAAATGTAGAATATCTCTGACACACCAATAAACATTCACCTGTATGAATAAATTAGCTCTTAACCAGGTAAAATCATGTTTCCATTACACCCACCTATCACTACTGTACCTGGACCACCGAACAATATCCCAATATGGATAAAATATCAACAGACAATAATTTCAGAATGGACACACTCCCACTATGGCCGCCACCCTCCTCTACAGGTGTGTCCCATCGTGAGAGTAACAGGTGTGAGGGTACAGTGTGTGTGTCAATGTCTGACTGATTGAATACATGCATTGTGTGTTGCAACATGATGGGTAGTGTGTGTGTTATGGATGGCGTTTATTTTTTGCCGTATATGTAACTGTCTGTATATCCGTGTATTTTTGTATACATACATTGGTCTTAGTTTCTTTGCAATTAGGTAGTAGGTAGTAAGCAGCTACCAAACAGGGAGGTACTAACGCCTGGAAAGATATTGAAAGCATAATGTGTTGTCTAATGGTAGACCCTGCTGCCATATGGCATCACAAAAATTGTGACCAAGTCCCAGGTTGCTGATCTGACTTTCTGCCTCATTTACACACAATTGCAGGATCTCAATTGTTTCTCTTACCATTGACAACACAACATACAGTATATTGTTTCTCACTGTTGATCTTTTTTTTTATTTTTGTGTTTCCTTATTATTATTATTTTTAATTTTCTATTTAAAATTTTATTTACTATGAATTATTATTACATTTTCACCCCCCCTCCCCCCCGATGTGTCAGTGACCTGTGACCGGGTGGGATAATCCCCATAAAAAACAGAACACAAGAGAGGAATCTGAGTATCTCCCCGCCTCTTCCTTCCCCTCCCACACCAGGTTATACCATTACACCGGGATTCTAATGCAGTTCAATCTGTAATAACCTCGATCTGTCGCCCACTACGCCACAGTGACCGACCTTAGTTAAGCATTTATCATCACTATCTCCATCTCCTCTCTTTCTCCACTTCATTTGTCCTATTCATCAAGAACACCTGACTCCTCCCCTCTCTCCACACCACAGGGTAATACTAGAGAGGTTCTGGCATCAGGTATAATTAGTAGTTAGTGTTTACCTGCTGGTCATTAACGTGTATTAGGGATGAGTGTTTACCTTTGTGATACATTGATGAAGGTCTGTGTTTACCTGAGTTACCTGCTGTAGGGAGTTGAGAAATGGTGTGGAATTGAGAGTGTCACTGAGATTAGATGCGTCCGTTTGTTTCACCTGATGATTGGATACTCCAGCTTATTTCACCTGATGATTAGGCTAAGTCAGATTAGTGTTGGGGCGTCTAATCATCATATGAAATAAATTGGGTGGCTAATGTTCAGGCGAGTAATTATACGAACACACACACACATAGTATTCTCTTTCAGACAGAGACACATACTCACTGTTGTACCCTGGGTGGTGGTGGTGGTAGGGAGGGGGGTTCCTATAATTTGTCTCTTTTTAAAACAAATACCATTTCACTTGTCAGGTACAGTGTTGAATTGCTTTTGTTGTTAATATGTTGGAAATTATATTTTTTTGTATTATTGGTGCTTTTGTTGTTATTGGTATTATTAAAGTTTTTATTGTTGTTGCTAATACTAAAGTTTTGGGTATATTACAGCTTTTGTTGTTCAATTCAAAGTAATTGTCATTGTTAACATGGCTAAAGTATGTTCATGGGTTTTTTGTAGTTTATTTGTTATTAGTGGTTTATTGTTATGCGGTTGTTCTTGTTACGGTGATAAGAACTTTGTTATTGTTTTCCACTAGGTAAACAGTTTTTATTGGTCAGTGTAGATGAGGACAGGATGAGGCTATAGACACAAGTTTGCCTCACTGGTATTGGAGGAAAATGATGGAGGTAAATGGTGGAGGAAAACGGTAGAGGTAAACGGTGGAGGAAACGCAACATTGTATACTTTGTGGTGGTAACGAGTCACTTATATGTGTATTTTATGTATCTATTTTTCTCTCTAGTAAACACACACGAATCTCAAATGTATCTTTCGTGTTCGTTGTCTGGGAATTAATTAACAAACACACATTATTAACCTGGAGAGGACACGTTATTAATATCATACCTTTCCTCTACTGCTACAAGAACAGCTTCATTATAACCAATTTAAAAATCAATGATTCTTAGATGTTTTGTAGATAATTGAGGATATAGAAAATACATTAGGTTCTGTCTGTAAATATTTATTCGTGTTACAAAGGAGAGAAAAGGAGATAAGTAACTAACAAGATTAAAAAGGTAAAACATATATTAAAAAAAACTAAACACAAACTTCGTCCTTGACAAATATAACCTCCTCTTCCATCTTAACAGGGGGCGGGGTGCTGCTATACGGTAGTTGATCTTGTGTCGTCTTCTTCCTCGAGCGGCCACAAACATGTTCCTTGAGAGTACTTTTGTAGTTGTATCCTTGACCACATCGATCACACGTAAACGACTTCACCGCCGAGTGAGTCAGGATGTGTTTTCTAAAGTTACTCCTACAGGTGAAGGTCTTATTACAGTCTGTACACCTGTAAGGTTTTATCCCTGCATGGAGTTTCAGGTGCTCCCTCAGGAGATCCCGTCTGCCGAAAGGCTTGTTGCACTCAGGACACTCGAAGGGCTTCTCTCCAGAGTGACTCCGCATATGGACCAGTAGGTAATTACGGTGGCTGAAGGTCTTGTCACACTGTAAACACCGGTAGTTTTTCTGTGCACTATGACGACTGATGTGATTACGCAGACTTCGTTCACTAGCAAAATCTTTCCCACATTCAGAACACTGGAACGGCCTCTCACCTGTGTGTGATCGTATGTGAATCTGGAGAGCTCTACGTTCTGTATAACTTTTGCTACACTCTGTACACTTAAATTGCTTCATTCTCACATTCTTTGTTGCGCCTTTACACTTCGTCACTGTCTCTGGAGATTCTGTACGGTGAAGCAACTCTCTTGTGTGAATCTTTACGTGGTTTACCAAAGAACTTTTCTTAGCAAACATTTTCTGACAGTGTTCACACTGGAGGTTCCTCTCTGGAGTGTTGGAGACCACCAAAGTTCTCTCGGTCATGTGAACCTTCATATGATTTGCCAGAGAACTTTTTTTCGTAAACGTCCTCCGACACTGTTGACACGTGAAGCCTATCTCTTGAGTGTTAAGGTCGAACTCCAGGTCGCCATCGTCTGTCAGAGTCTTATCGGTAGAGGAACAAAGTGTTTGGTCATACTCCATGATGCAGTGTTGTAATACGAACAGGAGCACTGTATAGTGTTGTGAAGACTTGACGCAGCTACTTCACAGCTGACACGTTCACTGTGGGAACACTGGAAGTGGAGTGAAGTGCGGGACCCTCAGACCCCCTTTTGTATATGAGGCCCCTCATGCTGACGTCACATATGTCAGGTCACTCCCGGCGGGTGACGACTCTCCCTGTGGTCACGTGTTTGACTCATTGTTAGTGTCTTTCAAGTTCCACGATGAAATATAAAATTTAGAAGTTAAACATCGAACTGTATAACCATTAAAATATGATGACCCTTGACCTTGTTTGTTTTGGTAAAGGCAGCTGGAACATTTTACGACAACCACTTGACAATAACTTCGAAATAAAATTTATCTGTTCAGTGTTCAAATACTTGTATGCAGTATGTATAGTCATGATCTAGTATATTCTAAATAAATTAAGGGTTGCTTTATCACCTAAGTGTTTGGTAGAAAGGTTAATAGACAATATACTGTAATGGTAAAACGTATTAAGGCTAAATAAGATTAGTATAACCTCAAATTATTATTGGAAGAACAAATACTTATAATGTATACAGCCTTAACAACATCAACCTAGAGAAGTCGACTTGTGAAAGAGACCTAGGAGTACTTGTAAGCCCGGACCTACGGCCTAGAAAACAGTGCGTTAATGTTCGAAATAAGGCAAACAGAGTATTGGGTTTTATATCTAGAAGTGTAAGTAACAAGAGTGCAGAGGTCTTATTGCAACTATATCTTGCGCTGGTCAGGCCGCACCTCGATTATGCGGTTCAGTTCTGGAGCCCTTATTATAGAATGGATATAAATTCACGAGAGTCGGTGCAGCGAAGAATGACAAAAATGATTCCGGGACTTAGAAACCTTCCATATCAGGATAGGTTAAAGAAACTTAACTTGCATTCCCTAGAAAGACGAAGAGTGCGGGGAGATATGATAGAAGTATTTAAGTGGGTGAAAGGAATCAATAAAGGGGATATAGATAAAGTTCTTATAATATCCGGATTCAAGTTGGATAAGTTTAGGTTTAGGAGGGAGATAGGAAGAAACTGGTTCACAAATAGGGTGGTGGACGAGTGGAACAAGCTTAGCAACTTTGTAGTAAGTGCGGGAACTCAGGAAACTTTCAAAAGGAGGCTAGATAGATTCATGGATGATAGAGAGTGGAAGTAACTCTCGACAGGAGCTGCCATGCACAGGCCAACCGGCCTATTGCAGACTCCTTATTTTCTTATGTTCTTATGTTCTAAACACACCTGCTGAACGTTACTTGGGAGGGTTAGGTTAAATTAGGTTATGTTCATTATTAATCTTGAATTGGGATAAGATGGGAGGCTAATCTTCAGTTGATCCCAAAGTTGATTCGGATCAGTTAAAGTGTTAAGTGTGTAGTGTAGTAGTAAAGTGAACGAGGTATTGTTAAGTGTATCAATGTGTGATTATTATTATTATTATTATTATTATTATTATTATTATTATTATTATTATTACTATTATTAGGCTGAGCAGTTCTCGGTCAAACAAACGTTATACCTTCCCCGAGGGTCACATCAAGTCAGGTGATTCGCCACACAGGTCAACCATCGCCTCCTGACCTGACTTGACCTGACCTGCCCGGTGGTTCAGTAAGCTGTTCATCTATTCGTTCTTCTTCATGCTGTTGTATATTATAAATAACATGAACATGAACATGGATGTCTTCACGGGCGGATCCAGGATTTTATGTGAAGGGGGAGGGTGGATTTTGACCAAGTCTTAACGCTCAGACGGGGTCACATGTAAGGTTAGGTCGTGTTATGGATCACCTGAAGAATCTCTGCCCCAGCTTGTTTCACCCCCAAATTAACACTATTTGCAGGGATGAGGTTAGGTTAGGTCAGGTCAGTTTAGGATAATGTAGGTTAGAATATGTCAGGTTTGGTTAAGTTACGTTAGGTTTACACGAGGGTGGTTAATCTTCAGGTGTAATAAGATGGGGTGGTGATTCAAGAGAGAGAGAGAGAGAGAGAGAGAGAGAGTAGTTATGTACAGAATAATGGTGACCACAGTTAGCTGAACATTAATAGCTATGAACGCGCATCTGTCACCACACACCAGAGAGGAGGCTGGCGACTACCCGACCTGACCTGACCTGACCTGACCTGACTTCACCTGACCTGACCTGACCTCACCACCTACACCCACTACTGTCTATGAAGCAGACTTATTGAACAAATTCTATATATTGTGTAAATATTGTGCCAGTCTCCTGTCATTAGTTACGTCATTTTCCTCTAAACACAAACATCAAGGGGCTACACACGTTCACACACACACACACATACACAAACACACACATACACACGCTCGCGCGCTCGTGATGGTAAAATATTCACGGATGCTTTTCATAAATCGCCAGCACATCGTCAGTATAGAATATATGAATAGAGAAATTCTATAACCAATAATCTCGTGTGGTGTGCTACAAACACCTGTTGACGGACACACACACACACACACACACACACACACATTACGCAGATATTATACAGCCCGTTTCCACAATTTACATATACAATCTATTTTTAATGGTAATGACAACACATTATATATTTATATTTACTGGAGTTTTTAGTACATGATGGATTTTGATGGTAAATTTGGGAACGATAGACTGTGTGCGTTGACAATAATGTTCGCTGGTAGATGGTTGTGTATGTGTGTTTGTTTATGTATCTTTTTGGCTGTGTTGACATTTGTTAGTCTGGTATACCTACACAGCATTCCTACATATATCTCTCGCCCCCCTTCACTGTATACGTGTGTGTGTGTGAGTATGTGTGTGTACAGTATATGTGTGTATATATAAACTTTGTGTGTGTGTGTGTATATATATAAACTTTGTGTGTGTGTGTGTGTGTGTGCCCAGTGGTTGCCTATATTGTTGGGGCTGACACACAATAACTTCCCGGCCATCAACAACGCCACGATATTTGGCTATTTGGCGAGAATAGGAATAGTTGGCTAGAACTCCTGCACTATTTGGCGGGACTAATATTACCAGGCGTTAAATGCAGTATATGGCGGGAAATACAACAGGTGGCGGGAAATACAACAGGTGGCGGGAAGAACAGTACAGTATTTGGCGGGAACTACAATACAAGCCAGGAACAACTGTATTTGGCGAGATTTTCAATATTTAGTGGTAACAACAATATATTTGGCGAGAAAAGCAGTTCAGTATTTGGTAGGAATTTCAATATATGGCGGGAAAAGCTGAATTTGGCGGGAAACAGCAATATGTGGTGGAAAATAATCACTCGGATGCCAGCTGGTGATTATACACAGCCGCTTCAGGGTGAAAATAACGCGGACAGGGAGGGGGAGAACGGGCTGATGAATGGCGATGTAAAGGGGAGAGAAGAATAAAAATAATAATTGAAGAAGATGCTTTACTAAAGGTAGGAGAAGGAAAATGAATAATAATAGAGGATAATAGTAAAATAGAGATGAATAGATAGATAACAGGAGAGACATAGACACACGGTGAATCTAACCTGAAAAAAAAGTGGAAGCGACGTGAACCGAGCGAGATTCTGTTGACAAACCACGACAACAGAGGATGTTTTTGTTTGTTTGTTTGTTTACAGGTGGACACGGGGAGGGTGGATGACATGATATAGGATGGGTGTAGGAGAGTAGTAGTGGATGTTAGGAAGGATGACATGAGGTAGGATAAGTGTTAGGAGGAAGGCATGAGAGAAGATGGGTTGTAGGGGAGAGGATTAAGGAAGGGATATTGACCTTCCTGACAGAGACAATGTTAAACTCACCCTCAGGCCATGTTCTGGTACAGGTCATTGGCCTATTCAGACTAACACTGTTGTAGACACACCCAACACGTAGACAGACTTATATAAGGTTAATTAAAAGACCTGTATGTCAGGGGTCCACACACACACACACACACACGTTCCAAAAACCATAGATATGTCCCCTTAAACACGAGATATATATACTGTATGTGTACAAGTCATATATCTGGGTTGAGAAACGACCGATAGCTAGAGGCAGGTCAGACACCCTTTGTGATTTTTGAGTCTGTAGTATTTTACTAGAGGTTTAGCGACGAGAATTTGTATCAGGTGAAGATTAGACACCCCAGCTTATCTCATCTGAAGACTGACGACCCTGACGCTACCTGGGGATTATAAAGGGTTACGTTAGGTTAGGTTAGAGTTGGGTTAGCGTTAGGGTGGTTAATCCAGGCTATGTTAGGTTAGTGTTAGGATGGTTGATATTCAGGTTAAATAAGCTGGGGTGTCTAATACTGAGGTGATTAAATTATTCCATCTCAATCTATTATGACGGAGGTTAATGTTACCAATATCGGGACAATAACCACTTGTTGTCATTCTTATCCAGGCATTATCCTATTGCATACGTTAACCACTTTGTATGGCAGAGGATAACGTTATATGGGAACATTAACCAATAGAAGGTGCACCATATACTTGTAGCTTTATTTACGAGGAAGTTAAATGAATAACCCAGTCTGGTGGAAAATTATTACGGCAGAAAACGGAGTTGTTTGTATGGTAGACTTGTTCGTTTTCTTCATTTTTTAAGGTGTATTGGAGGTGTTGAGGTCTCTCTCTCTCTCTCTCTCTCTCTCTCTCTCTCTCTCTCTCTCTCTCTCTCTCATGTATGACTGTCGTTCTTTAGTGTCAGTGTTACCAGTTCTCGGGAAAAATGGAAGCCTTGCCAGTTGTCAGTAATAGCCCCGGGGCGGCCACTCCTGGGAAGACTAGATATAAACTTGTAAAGCCTCTCTTGTCCAACTCATTGATGATAACACGAGGAAGGAGGCCTCTATCAGCCCCCTTGGCCTCTGCGGTGGAGAGTCCAGGCGGCCTCTGTCACCCCGCATAAAACAGTGGCACCATCTTTGACCCCCCTCCCTAATATGACCTCTTATGGCCTTGATCATA